AAAAAAAAAGGGAAGTAGTCCTCTTTTATTTTTTTATTTTTTTATTTTATCTGTTGATTAGGGTCGGAGGAAAGTATTGTTGGGTGGTTACCTCCCTCCGTTTTCCCTCCCACCCACCCCTTGCATGCATCCCGTTTCGGTACAGTGCCACGTCAACACGACACGACAGCTACAGTGCCACAGCAGATAAGTGCCACCTCGACRGGGTCCCGACACCATGACGGGCCCAGCCCTGGGCATGGCGGGCCAACTGGCCAATGAATCCATCTCCGACTACAAGCTGCGGTTCTACGCCCAGCTCGCATTGATCGAGGCTGAAGAACAGCGGCAGCTGGCAGCCGAGACGGCCCGCCTACAGGCCGAAGCTGAGGCAGCAGCAGAGAAGCTGCGACTACAGACCGAAGCAGATGCAGATGCCCAGGCTCGCCGCAAGGAAGCCCAGGATCTGTTGCAGCGGCATAAAGCCAGCAGCATCGAGCGACTCAAATTCTGGCACTTTGAACCAAACGGCGACGAGGCAGATCAGGAGGAACAACACAAGGAGTTCCTCTCCAAGCTCGTGACCCGGTTGTTGTATGCGTGCAACTACCAACGGTCCGAGTTGGAGAAGCAGAACCTGGAACTACAGAACCTGCACCAGGCTCTGCAGACACAGCAACAAGAGTTGGTGACTCTCCGCCGCATGGTGCATGATCACGACAGTGCTACACGGGCACTCAACGGCCGTGTCACGGACCTGGAGCAATCTGCACCAGATCCAGACGCAGTCGCGACCAGCAGTGCACCATCAAACCACCAGCTGGAACAACGCATGGACCACAAGGTGGCAATGCTGGGTGACCTTACCACCTTCACAGCACCAGCCACCATCAGCCAGCGGTTCGAGGAGCTGGATGCCAAGCTCGGGCAACAACAACAGCCATCCGAGCACAGCAGCAGCTCGCCGAAGCCGTACAAGATGCCAAAGTTCCAGATTGAGAGATTCGATTACTACATGCATCAGAATCCCGTAGTCTGGTGGCAAGGATTCTCGACGGAGTTGGGGATTCATCAGATCCCCAAGGACATGTACATCAGCGCTCTGTTCCTCAATGTGAAAGGAGCATGCCAGATCTGGTTGAGCCACATGGCCACAATGCATAGCGTCGACGTGGCAGAGCTGTACAAGAAGATCACTTGGGAAGAAATGACAAAGGAATGGAAGAAGCGGTTCATCGTCGACGACGCGCCTGCACAGGCCGTCAACCGCATCTTCACAATGGCACAGGGCAGCAGTCTGACACGGGAMTGGCTCACGGAATGGCAGAAGATCGTGGCGACGCCCGATCTGGATCTACCATTCACGCATCTGCGGCGTGAGTTCTTCAACAGATCCTGTGCGACCCTCAGCCTTGCACTTGGTGAGCGCGAACAGTACACAAGCTTTGCTGAGATCATCAACAAGGCTCGCGAGATCATCAAGACCAACAGGCCAGCTGCTCACGAGAAATCGACATGGCAGCCGACCTATGTGGAGAAGGTACGAACTGGTCCGCGACAGCAGCACTTCGCTGMAGTCCAGCAGGACAGTGGAGATGACCCAGCAGCCACTTCAGCATCAAGTAACGGAGATAAGGTGGCTGCTGTCCAGCCGCGAAGCACCAACAATCCCGTAACAATGGGAAGGCGAAATCCGCATCGCAGGCCGGAAATGGACAGCCAGGACAGTTTCCATGGGTCAAGTTTGGCTTGACCGAGGCGGAGTACAAGGTCCGCGGCCGCTACGGCAGCTGCTATTGGTGCAACAGCACCAAGCACAAG